AGAAAAAGAACTTTCAAATTTCTAATCCTGGCTTCGCATATGTGACGAGTGAGACGGACTTGTTCATCACACTTTTGACGTGGTCTTTTCTTTTCCTTTTATCTTTTATGGAAATAATGAAATCAACTACTCTATTATTTGTGTAAAACAACTCTACATACTTTTTCTTTCAATAATGACTTTTTTTTTTCCACACGATAGTACAAAAAAGGTCTCATCGTGAGTTTTAACGTGTAATGGACAGCACATTTTAACAACCGGGGCGGAATCACGTAAGAGCAAGGGGATTTGAGTATTTTTTAGTGAAAAATTAATATTATATATATAAGGTTAAAATTATTTTTTACGTTGAATCTTTTTATCTTTTTTTTTTTTTTTTTTTTTTTGTGTATTTTTAGTTCATTATATATATATATATTTGTAGGTGAAAATCATGACCTTGTCACTATTTGTTAAATTAGGTCTTGGGCCTAACTCACACCCCAAAAGCTATCAGAGCAGGGCCCGTCTCACCCGATGTTGGGGCCCCCAAAATCAAAATTGCCCACACACCAGATGCTAAGCACTGGGCGTGAGGTGGGGTGTTAAAGAATGACAAATGTCCCACATCGGTGATTAATGAGATGGGTGAACTCCTTATAAGGCTTGGGCAATCCTCCTCCCTTTGAGCTAGCTTTTGGGGTGTGAGTTAGGCCTAAGACCTAATTTAACACTATTGACACAACCCCTTCCCTTTCTATAGATACTTAAATTATGTTGATTCTAATTTGCGGGCGGGGAGGAAAAAGATATTAAGTTAACGTGGATAGTCTTACAAGGACAAAACAATATATGTGAATCTGAAATTAATCGGATCACTGGACAATAAATACTTAATGGTACGTGAATTTTTTTGTAAAAAAAAACTAAAAACATATAGTTGTTTGATTGAGATAAAGTGGATTACCAAAGGTGGTGGAGCCACCTTGTTGTGACACTCCTTTGTGGGAAAATTAGACAGGATAGATAAATGAGTTTAATATAATATGTGTGGGGAATTTTCTCGATTTTTTTATATTTTGATTATTCTTAATGAAAATTCATGTTTTGCTACAGATCACCAAAGCCAAAATATATATAAAGAGGAAGGTTAACAATATATATATATATTTTATCTCTAAGTTAATATTATTAAATTCTAATTTTAGTCCTTATATCTGATTAAGTACATTTAATCTTCAATCAATTGAATTGTGCACCCTAATTCCTTTATTTGTGATTATTCAAAAATTTACCATGATTATTCAAAAATTTCCACCACTTAATTATCAATATGTTAAACTGGTACTAATATAGTTCTAAAATATTCCAACCATAACATAAGTATTTCTTACAAAAGGGACCAAAAACATACATCTCAAGTAACTAGAAATTAAATAAATTTTTATTGAATATTATCCTAAAATGAAAGTCTAAAGAGTCTGTTTGAATTAGTTTAAAAGTTGATCAAGCCTACTTTTAGATTATTTTTAGCTTTTGAAAGTGTTTGACAAAGTTAAAAATTACTCAAAATAAGTTTAAAATGAATTAAAAGTTAAAACCCCTTACTTTTCATTGTTTAACTTAAAAGTTACTAAAGTTTTACTTTTTAAAAACTACTTTTAAAAAACTATTTTTTTAAGTTAAGCCAAACGGTTCAAAAAGTAATTGGGACATTGATGCTAAACTTATTAATAGGGCAAGAAAAACAATAATCCTATGAGTTTCCTCGAAAATACGTTGTAATTAATTCACATGGACACTTTTTATTTTTTAACATTTTGTGGCCAAGCGAGAAATCTATAATGGATTCTAAATTTAATATTTATATATATTTGATAAATTTTTCAACACAAAATATATTATTTGAGCAAAATCTACTGAATTCGGTCGAACCCGCGTGCGACTTACTAGCTTTATCATTCACGACATGCCAACTATAAATGTCAAATGTCCACGCAAGTCCAATCTCCACAATTGAAGGAGATCATCATCCATGTAACACGTTTCGTCTTGCAAAGAAATTAAATTAACCAAACTTTAGTTTTGTTATTATTTTTTAAATCTTGATCAATTCAAATTTCCTCTGAACACCCTAAATTTTAGATATGAGCTCATCTCGATATTTCAAATATATTGATATATTATTCATTTAAAATGATTCACGTTTGCGATATGACACATTTTAAAATTTGAGTTCTGAAGCTTTTATCTATTTGAGTGATTGGATCGATGAAGGATCTTGAATAGCTGCAAGTTTTTGAGAACTTGCATTGCAACTTCATTTAGACAGAATATTTGCAACTTTTTATTACAAAGTGATTTAACAGTTAAAAAATTGTATTGTATGTAGAAAGATGTTCATTGTATCCAAATATAATTAAGCAAATTTACAGTGGAAAGTTTTGGAAATTCTACAAATTCATAGAATAAAGTTCAATTTAACTAGTCTCATTCACACTTAGCGTGTGTTTGGTATGAAGGAAAATGTTTTCCTGGAAATAAGTAGATTTTTGACTTATTTTTTCATGTTTGGTTGGTGAGTAGAAAATATTTTCTAAAAAAGATTTTTAGTGTTTGATTTAGGGAAAATGCATAAGTACCCCCAGCCTATGCCCAAAATCCCTGAGACACACCTAACCTTTACTAAGGTCCTATTAACCCCGAACTTAATTTTTAGTTAATTTTTTACCACTTTTCGGCCTACGTGGCAATATAAACCAGATAGGTTGAAAGCTTTGTTCAACACGCGCTGGGCCCCACTTTTTCAACTTTCTAAAAAGTAAGCTATCAGTTCAAAAATAGCTTTTACACTTTCCAAAATTTCAAAAAGCTATCACTTTATGTTTTAGATAAAATTATTATTTATAATCTACTTTGTTAATATATTTTTAGTTAATTTATAGATTTCAATGTTTATATATTTTATTTCAAATTTGGGCTTGTAAAATTTTGTAAATATTATATATATAATTTTATTTTATTTATAGATAAAAAAATTTATTTATAATCTACTTTGTTAATATATTTTTAGTTAGTTTATAGTTTTCAATGATATATATTTTATTTTAAATTTGGGCTTGTAAAATTTTGTAAATATTATATATATAATTTTATTTTATTTATAGATAAAAAAATATTACTTATAATCTACTTTGTTAATATATTTTTAGTTAGTTTATAGCTTTCAATGTTTATATATTTTATTTCAAATTTGGGCTTGTAAAATTTTGTAAATATTATATATATAATTTTATTTTATTTATAGATAAAAAAAATATTACTTATAATTTACTTTGTTAATATATTTTATCTAGTCTATAGTTTTCAATGTTTATATATTTTATTTCAAATTTGGGCTTGCAAAATTTGTAAATATTTTATTATGTATTAAGATCCGAAGTTACAATTATATTGTTAGAGTTTTCAAATTTGAAGTTAACAATTTACTTTGTAAATATTTCGTTTTGTATTCAGTTTGACTGTATCCTTTAATCTTATTAATTTAACATAATGAACGTTGATATTTCAAAAAAATATATTTTGTACTCATGTGAATTTTACCGTCTTTACGAAAATTTCTATTCATTTAACGTTTCTTAAGTTTAGCTTATCTCACAGGTAGGTGAAAATATATTTGATCTCTTTTTCAAACACCGTTAAGTTGTAAAAAACTAAAAAAACCAAAAAATTGAAAAAACCCGAAAGAACAGACTAAAACCGAAACCGAAAAAAACCGACTTTGCGTGGTTTGATTTGGTATTTAGATTTAATAAACCGACATAATTGGTTTAGGTTTTTTTTTTAATGAAAAACCAAACCAAACCGACCTATGTACACCCCTACTTCTAAGTCATCAAGAATCGTGGTTGAGTTCAAAGGTTAGTTTTTTCTTGATTTTATTTTGTTAGCTTTTCGAAGAAAGGAGCAATTTAACTTATGATAATGGAGGTTTTTTTTTTCCAAACATGAAGAACAATAATAAAGAAGAAGACAATTGAGTTAATATTTATTTTTTTCAAGTTTATTTTAACACATGACCAATTTTTATTGGTCAGTGCTGTCTAAAAACTGCACCCACGCGCCTAACATAGGTAAAGTCACGGACTCAGCCATGTAGGCCGAAAAGTGGTAAAAAATTAACTAAAAAATAAGTTCGGGGGGGGGTGGGGGGGTAATAGGACCTTAGTAAAGGTTAGATGTGTCTCAGGGATTTTGGGCATAGGTTGGGGGAGTACTTATGCATTTTCCTTTTGATTTATGAATGAAAAATATTTTTGAGAAATATCTTTTATTTTTACTAGAGTAGAAAATATTTTAAAAAAACAAACTTAAATTTTTTTTTGGGGGGTGGGGGGGTGGTAGGGGAGGAGGGTGAGTGGGGGGTGGGGTTCGAGGGTAGGGTGAAAAAATGAAATTTTGAAGTTGAAAATATTTTTTAAAAATAAACTTAAATTTTTTTTGGGGGGAGTGGGGGGGTAAAATATAAAAAATTGAAATTAGAAATATCTTTTAAAAACAAATTTTCATATTTTTTTTGGGGGGGTAGGGGGCTGGGGGTAGGGGTGAGGGTGGGGTAAAAACTTGAAGTTAAAAACATTTTTAAAAAAACAAGCTTTAATTTTTTTTTATGGGGGGCTGGTTTGAGGGTAGGAACAAAATAAATTGATTTTTTCAACAAAAAAATAAATTGTCATTTGAAGTTGAAAGAAAATTTTGGAAAATGTTTTGCTTAAGTTTTGAAGGAAAGTCATTGTCCTTAAATTTGAGGAAAATGAGTTGATTTGGAAAACATTTAACCCAACCAAACCAAACATGAAAAAATTGGTTGCTTCATACCAAACACACCCTTAGTGTCCTTTATTTTCTTATCTTTTATTACTTTTAATTATCTTGTCCACATTATTCTTTTTTTCCACTAGCTAAATAAAGTCATGAACAAATAAGCACTATAAATAGACAGTCGTTTCAAAGCAGAAAAATTCATCAAATACACTTTCCAAATACATCATCAGTTCTTGTATTTGCAGCCATGGGATTCTTGAAAATCCTTCTTGTTTTCATCTTTTGTTCTTTCCCATGGCCTACTATTCAGAGTGATCTCGAGACTTATATAGTCCATGTTGAATCCCCTGAAAGCCTAATTACTACTCAATCATCGTTAACGGATTTAGATAGCTATTACCTTTCTTTTTTGCCTAAAACTACTACCGCAATTAGCTCGAGTGGAAATGAAGAGGCTGCGAGCATGATCTATTCCTATCACAATGTGATTAAAGGCTTTGCAGCAAGATTAACTGCAGAACAAGTGAAGGAAATGGAGAAGAAACACGGCTTTGTCTCTGCTCAGAAACAGAGGGTTTTGTCCTTGGATACTACTCATACTCCAAGTTTTCTTGGTTTGCAGCAGAACTTGGGTGTATGGAAGGATTCCAACTATGGGAAAGGCGTGATCATCGGAGTTATAGACACTGGAATTCTTCCTGACCATCCTTCATTTAGTGACGTTGGGATGCCTCCTCCGCCTGCTAAGTGGAAAGGAGTTTGTGAGTCCAACTTCATGAACAAGTGTAACAACAAGCTCATTGGAGCAAGGTCCTACCAACTTGGCAATGGTTCCCCAATAGATGGTATTGGACATGGTACACACACAGCAAGCACAACTGCAGGAGCCTTTGTGAAAGGTGCTAATGTATATGGCAATGCAAATGGCACTGCTGTTGGTGTTGCCCCTCTTGCCCACATAGCCATATATAAGGTGTGTAATTCTGATGGTTGTTCTGACAGTGATATTTTAGCTGCCATGGATTCAGCTATAGATGATGGCGTAGATATTCTTTCAGTGTCCCTTGGTGGAAGATCAGTTCCTTTCTATGCAGACAGTATTGCTATTGGGGCGTACAGTGCAACGGAAAGAGGGATTCTTGTAAGTTGCTCTGCTGGAAATAGTGGTCCTTTGCATGCCTCAGCAGGAAACACAGCCCCTTGGATTCTTACAGTAGGTGCCAGCACGCTTGATAGGAAGATAAAAGCTACTGTTAAGCTTGGAAATGGGGAGGAATTTGAAGGGGAATCTGCTTATCGTCCAAAGACTTCCAACTCGACATTCTTCACTCTATTTGATGCTTCAAAAGATCAATCTGAAACCCCTTATTGCAGACCAGGGTCACTCACTGACCCTGCTATAAGAGGAAAGATAGTATTATGTTTAGCATTCGGTGGTGTAGCCAATGTTGATAAAGGACAAGTTGTGAAGGATGCTGGAGGTGTTGGCATGATTGTCATCAAACCGTCACATTATGGTGTCACTAAATCAGCTGATGCTCATGTTCTTCCAGCATTGGATGTTTCAGCTGCAGATGGATTAAGAATTCGTGCTTATACAAACTCAACATTAAACCCTGTTGCTACAATCACATTCCAAGGAACAATAATTGGAGATAATAATGCTCCAATTGTTGCTGGATTTTCTTCTCGGGGACCAAGTAGAGCTAGTCCTGGAATCTTGAAACCTGACATAATCGGTCCTGGTGTTAATATCCTTGCTGCTTGGCCTACCTCCGTGGATGACAACAAGAACACCAAATCCACATTCAATATTATATCAGGTACCTCAATGTCTTGCCCTCACCTTAGTGGCGTAGCAGCTCTGCTGAAGAGTGCACATCCTGATTGGTCTCCTGCTGTTATTAAGTCTGCAATCATGACAACCGCTGACACATTAAACCTTGCCAGTAGTCCAATACTCGATGAAAGGCTCCTTCCTGCTGATATCTATGCAATTGGTGCAGGACATGTTAATCCATCGAGGGCAAATGATCCAGGACTAGTTTATGATACCCCATTTGAGGAGTATGTACCTTATTTTTGTGGTTTAAGCTACACCAATCAAGAGATAGGTAAAATGTTACAACGTCAGGTGAATTGTTTGAAGGTGAAAAGTATCCCTGAAGCACAACTAAACTATCCTTCATTTTCCATATTTGGACTTGGATCAACTCCTCAGACATATACCAGAACTGTGACCAACGTTGGTGACGCTACATCATCTTATAAAGTGGAGGTAGCTTCACCAAAAGGCGTTGTCGTGGAAGTTGAACCCACAGAGCTAAATTTTTCCCGGTTGAACCAGAAGTTAACATACCAAGTGACATTTTCCAAAACAACCAACAGCTCAAATAATAATGTTGTTGATGGATTCTTGAAATGGACTTCTAATAGGCACTCAGTAAGAAGTCCAATTGGAATTGTGTTAGCCTAGTGAAAATTTGGCTTTATAAGTGCATAAAGTACTCATACATTTGATTAAAGTGAAAATGCTGTTTGTTTTCGCATTATACTTATGTTACTTTTTCATTATTTTTTTTTAAAAAATATTACTTGAGTGACCATATGTGAGAATTTCGGTTCATACTCAAATTTGGAAAATTAGTTGTTGTCTACATAATAACGCACCCTTTGATCCAGAAACTTGACAGTGACATTCTTAGCATCCAGCAGGGAAAGCATGATTGTTTTTTCCAGTTAGAAGTGTTGAAATCTTTGGGAACGCAATGGGGAATTACAGAGACGAGTTCTACAGATGATTTTGCTGGAGAAGATTAAGAAACGGAAGAAAACATTAAGTACGGGTACTTTTAGACCAAACTATTTTAATTCAATTTCGCATAATTCAAAAGCATTTTGACCCTTTTTCGAAAATATTGTTATTGCTAAAGAGAAAGTCCAAGTCTTTGCCTCTCTGGTGACTTCAAAAAGTAATTGGGACGTTCATGCTAAACTTATTAATATGACACGAAAAATAATAGGGACATTCCTATGAGTTTTCTTGAAAAGACTTTATAATTAATTTACATGGACACTTTTATGTATATATATAATATAAAATACTCTTTTTCTTTGTATATATGTGAATAACGATCGTAATTATTTTTGGTGAGCGATGAAATGTGAAATTTTCCCTTTTATCATTTAATTGTATAGTTTGACCTTCAAATAGGTTGATGTCTGATCTAGCGGTACATAAGTTCTTTAAGGATGTAATGCATAATTTATAGTATATTATGATATAAATATAAATTTATGCTTCATATAAAATTTATCTACTTTAAAGGTAAGAAATTATAGATCAATACAAAATAGGGAAAAAAGTGCAAATGACCCCTTTCCATTACAGGTATCCATATGGCCAGATCAGTTTAATTACTACAGTTGGGTGAGCCCGGTAAAAAACGGATCAACCAAATTATATGGGTTGAGTTGGAATTGAAGAATGAGTTGTGCCAAACGAAGGAAAGAAAAAGCAGAATAATCAAATAATAGGATTTTGTCATAATTTTCTTACCTTATTTGAAGTTTATTTTTTCCTAAAAGAAAAGACAAAACATTACCATAAATGTTTTTACTTTTCTGAAAGGAAAATATAATTTTCTTCCATATTTGGTTTATTCTTTCCTTAAAGAAAAAGTTTTGAGATCTATAAATTGAAGATCTATATTTTCATAACAAAACAACAATAGAATCCACAATGTAGTCGTTTAGATATTTTTGTTTATGGGGAGATTTTTTCCTAAACATAGTTATGTTTTTTCAATATTAGTGTTATAATATGTAGGTCGCTTGACCAAACTATATCAATAATATGTTTTTATTATAGTTTTATTTGTCGTCTGATTTATCAACATATGATTTGCAATTGTAAGCTTCTGCATGACACCCTAATCACTTTCGAACCCGACATCATCCAACTGTATAAAATAAAAATAGCTGATATAATAAATGTATAATTCATGTCTAATATGTATTTTCTCTATCCTAGTTTATATTATTCACTCAATCTAAAAAAAAAGACATAATTTTATATTTTTTAATAATTTAACTTTTAAATATTTATCTACAAATTTAGTTGAAGAAGGATGCATCTTCAACTTCAAAATCGATTGTGGAAAAACGCCCAAAAGGGGTGGGGGGGAGTTGAGTTGTTGGTGGCTCCAATAAGGGCTTTGAGTCGGGATTCATGGGTGACACCATTGCTGAAAGTGAGAAAAAGCTACGGGAGTTGATACAGAGCAAAAGAGAAAGTGTAGAAAGATTTCTTCATCATTTTTTTTTGTTTTCAGCAGATCAGATTGATGACTTTTTTTTTTCTGATTTTTTGTTTTTCATCTTTTTATGATAAATATGAGTTCACTTTTTTAATGCATATAGTTGTTTTTATTTCTTAAATTAATGTATAATGCATTTGTTTCAACATTATGATACATTACCATTTTATCAAGAGTTGTTGGTGGCTCCGGTAAGGGCTTTGAGTCGAGATCCATGGGTGACGCCATTGTTGAAAGTGAGAAAAAAGCTACATGAGTTCATACAAAGCAAAGGAGAATGTGTGGAAGGATTTCTTCATCATTTTTTTTTTTTGCTATTAGCAGATCAAATTGTTGATTTTTTTTTTTTGATTTTTTGTTGCTTTCATCGAATCTTTTAATGTATCTAGTTGATTTTGATTCTTAAATTAATGTATAATTAATTTGTTTCACCTTTATGATCCATTACAATTTTATCGTGTACAATATATCCTTTTCAAATATTAATTTTGATACATAACCCTAATTTATTGAAACACAAATTAGTATGTAACATGTTCATAGTTATGTATTGGATACACAATTATTATGAATTTCATTATCTTTTACAACCAGTACATATACCCAGCTTTATTCAACTAGTAGAAGGCTATTATTCCTAAAATGAAAGTCTAGAGTCTGTTTGGATTGACTTTACAATTGGTCAAATCTATTTTTAAGTCATTTATTTTTTTTTGTTTTTGGGAGTGTTTGACAAAGTAGAAAATAACTTAAAATAAGTTAGAAATGACTTTAAAAAAAAGTTAAAAGTTACAAGTAGCTACTTCCTTACTTTTTATTTTTTAACTTAAAAGTTACTAAAGTTCGACTTTAAAAAAAATACTTTTAAAAACTATTTTAAAAAAAAGTTAAAGCCATACGGGAAGGCATTGGTGACTTCAGAAAGTAATTAGGATGTTGAGTCGTTGACGCTAAACTTATTAATATGACAAGAAAAACAATAGTCCTATGAGCTTCCTGGAAAATACATTGTAATTAATTCACATGGACACTTTTTATTTTTTAACATATTGTGGCCAAATGAGAAATCTATAGTTAGGATTTTAAATTGGAATTTTTTTTGCTTATAACCACTCAAAAATAACTTAATTATACTCCATAACTATAATTTGATAATTACGATTCGTAGCTATTTATTAGAGAGAGGAGAGACGCGAGCGAGATTGGAGAGGGAGGAGAGTGGAGAGAGGCAAATTGTATATGTCTATCTATCGAATTGTATATGAATATCTGTTAAACAATTGTATATTTGTAACTGGTATACACATGTACTTGTATATCTGGTGAGCGAGATTGGGAGAGGGGGAGAGAGATGAGCGAGATTGGGAGAGAGGCAAGCGAGAGGGCAGAGAGTGGAGAGAGACTAACTGTATATGTATATCAGTCAGATAATTATATATATGCAACTGATATACATATGTATTTGTATATCTGGCCAGCGAGATTGGGAGAGGGAGAAGAACGGCGAGCGAGAGAGGGTAGAGAGTGGAGAGAGGCTAATTGTATTTGTATAACTGTAATAATATATATATATATATATATATAAAATCTATTTTTGTAAATGTATAAGTGACATAATTACAGCTAAAATTTAGCTGCAAATCGTAATTTATTCAAACTATATCTATTTTTACAATTGTATATTTGTAACTGGTATACACATGTACTTGTATATCTGGTGAGCGAGATTGGGAGAGGGGGAGAGAGACGAGCGAGATTGGGATAGAGGCAAGCGATAGAGGGCAGAGAGTGGAGAGAGACTAACTGTATATGTATATCAGTCAGATAATTATATATATGCAACTGATATACATATGCATTTGTATATCTGGCTAGCGAGATTGGGAGAGGGAGGAGAACGGCGAGCGAGAGAGGGTAGAGAGTGGAGAGAGGCTAGTTGTATTTGTATAACTGTAATAATATTGTATATATAATCTATTTTTGTAAATGTATAAGTGACATAATTACAACTAAAATTTAGCTGCAAACCGTAAATTATTCAAACTATAACTATGTAAGCTAATTAACTAGTATATGTGGCCTATCCGCGTAATTTTCCTTTTAAAAATTTAATATTTGTACATATTTTTGATTAATTTATTAAAATGAATATACTATTTGAACAAAATCTACTAAATTCAGATCCCATATGTAGGTAGCTTTACCCTTCACGACATGCCAACTATACATGTCAAATGTCCACGCAAGTCCAATCTCCACAATTGAAGGAGATCATTATCCATGTAACATGTTTCGTCTTGCAAAGAAATTAAATTAACCAACTTTAGTTTTGTTCTTAATTTTTTCAATTTCGATCAACCTCCTCTGAACATCATAATTATTAGATGTGAGCTTCTCTCGATAGTTTAAGTCTTTTGATATATTATTTGTTCAAAATAATTCACGTTTGCGATATGACATTTTAAAATTTGAGTTTCGAAGCTATTTATATATTTGAGTACTTCGATGGACGAAGGATCTTGAATAGCTGCATGTTTTTGAGAACATGCCTTGCAGCTTCATTTAGACAGAATATTTGCAACTTTTTATTACAAAGTGATTTAACAGTTAAAAATTTGTATTGTATGTAGAAAGAAGTTCATTGTATCGAAATATAATTAAGCAAATTTATAGAGGATGGTCTTTTGGAAAATCTACAAATATATATATATATATCTAGTATATAATAAGCCACAATCCAACTATCATTGTAACTATCTTGTTAGCTTTCAACCAAAAGCTAACAAGCTATTTATTACTCATTCCTTTTGAATTTGTTAATCTGATTTTGATCTGACACATAGTTTACGAAAGTAAATTAGATTTTGAGAAAAAAACATTAAGTGATACTTGAAGTTGTCCCAGATTTTCAAAAAGACACCTTACCTTTGCGTGCGTCCTATTACCCCACTAAACATTCAAAATCACAATAAATACACATTTTTTACACAATATTTCCACTTTGGACAAAAATATCCTTCGAATGTGCAATTTCTTAAAAACAAAAAGTTGGACCCATTATTGATGTATTGAATGATGCTTTGATAATTTCCTATGATGAATTCGTTTTGTTTGTTTCTTTTAAATTTCTTTTACTATACTAAATAATTGTATAAAATATTATGAATCACGATAATTAATTACTTAAATATTTAAAAGATATAAAAATATATAAAAGATCTGTGACTTTTCAAATTTTACCGAT